TCCCTCCTTCCTTCCTTCCTTCCTTCCTTCCTTCCTTCCTTCCTTTTCTCTTTAAAGCACTCAAACCAAATGGTACAAGCTGTGAGCTGTGTTGGGGTTTGTAAGACACCAAGGATGCCACTCTTTCTCTCAATGAACAGAGGCACTCTTGTGGATTTCCCAGGCTCTGCTGCCAGCATCTGCAACTCGGGCATGATGGCATATTACAGACAGGGTGGGAAAACCACAAGACAAAGAATTGAGAAAGTCACAGGGGAGAGTGGAGGGAAAGAGCCAGGAGAAGGCTTGGGAGGAGGGTGGGCGTCAAATTGCCTTGCAATCTCTCTGAAAACACCTTTCCTTGAAAGTTGATTTAGGCACCTACTACCTGGGACCTTCATCAAGTTCTTGGCTCCCTGACACCTCAATTTCCTCTTCTGTAAAATGGGAATTGTGAGATTTTGGATGCAGTGAGTTTACTCATTAAAAAACACTTCAAACTGTGTCAGATACTTTGGTGACTGCTGGTGAGTTTTGTCAACTTAACACAAACGGAACTCACTTAGGAAGTGGGAACCTCAATCAGATGGTATGTGGACATGTCTGTAGTGTAGGGCATTTTCTTGATTAATGATTGATTGGTATAGGAGGGCCCAGGCCTCACCCATGGGCAGGTGGTGCTGGGTTTATAAGAAAGCAAGCTGAATAAGCTGTGGAGCAAGCCAGTGAGCAGCACTCCTCCTGGTCTATGCTTCAGTTCCTGCCTCCCACTTCTTGCTTCTGTTTCTGCCACGACTTCCATATATAATAGACTGTGACTGGATTATGTCAGACCAGCGAGCCCTTTCCTCTACAAGTTGCTTTTGGTCATGGTGGTAATCACAGCAATAGACAGCACACTACAAGACTTATTATTATTACCCTTTATTTATTTATTTATTTATTTTGAATAATCAGTGTTATCAGAGTCCCTGGTGTTTAACAAAGATTTGGTCAGATCTTCCTAGTGGAAACTATTGTCCTTTGTTTCTCCGAGCCACATTTCCCTATGGCAGTCTGCTCCTGGTTGAGCATGAGGATTTAAATTCAGCGATGTGTGATCGGGGCCTACAATCAAGGTTGATGTTGGACACACTTGGCTGAAATAGGACTCAGGAGTGACTGTTACACAATGAAGATGGACTCCACCAGGCAGTCTCATCCAGTGAATCAGCTTCAGTACTCTTCATGGAAGGGGTAGTCCTTTTCATTAATTGCACTGCAACAACAAAGATGGAGAGGAAATAGTCCACAGAAGGAAAGATGTGACGGGAGGGGGGCATCCTCATACACCATTCTAATATTCAGCGATCTCTGTGCTCTTCTGTCTCTTCCCCAACATGACTATGGAGACAGGGCATGGTGGGGAGGGCACACGACACGACCATCCCCCTAAAGTATGAGGGGAGTATTAAGGAAGGAGGGTCTGCTAACAATTAATGACATGGCCACCAGTAGATTGTCCTAACGAGGGGTCAGAAGCAAGACGACACATAGCTGAGGGCCTCAGAACTACTGTCTCAAATTCTAACAAAGTTGTGAAGGGGGAGGTACTATTGAAATTGACAGATGGTTCATTAATATTAAATAAGATATAAATATTATCAAAGAGCTTACAGAGTCTGCTATATCTAAACTAGTATTCAGTGATGTTTGCTGTAATTAATACTGTCATCTCACTTTGTAGATAAGAAAGCGACTTTGTGACATTACCCAGACTATCCCAGCCTCATCTCTAGTGAATAAGCAGTAGAGATTGTATTAGGACCCAGCTAGGTTCACTTCTGAGTCCACCAAATCCACTAGCTCCACAATCCTCCCAGTTGATACCCACTGGCATAATAAACACATCCCCAAACCTTGACTTTCCCCAAATGATAATTCTGGACTTGAGTTGCTCAAGCAAAAACAAAACAAAGAAATAAAAACATATTGAGCTGTTAAATGCTTTTGGCAAATTTAATTGACTATGTGTTCCCATTTATCTAGATTTTGATCTTCCTCATTTCTTCTGAGACACCATGGTCCAGGTCCAATGACTATCATCTTTCCCATGGGTTATTATAATATTCTCTCAAAGCACAAGTCATTGTGAATCTTTTAAGGCATGTCACATTATGCCAGCCTCTGCTCAAAATTCCCTCATGGCTTATCCCTCCTCTAGATCTAATAAGCAAAGGCCTATACAAGTCTATATCACCTGCATGATCTTAACCTGAAGTTGTCTCCAACTTCTTTTTTTCTTACAGTAACACCCACTCATTGCACTATATTCTCAATAGCATCCTTACTCAAGTGCTCTGAACCTGTTGCATCAAGGCATTTGCAATAGCTGCTATGACTGTCAAGAATGCTATTTCCTTCATATCCATGTTACTCATCCTTCACCCTCTTCAACTGCCACTTTATCAACAAAGCCTCCCCTAGATAATCGTGTATTAAAGTATCTATCACACAGGGCTCACCACATCCTGTGCCTTTGTTTTTCTCTGTGGCATTTTTTACTCTCTGATGTACATAGTTAGAGTTAGCTCACTTTTCCCTCTGTAGAATATAAGATGGGAAACAGGAATTTTATAGTGTGATGTCATGAATATCTAGACCATTCCTGCCCATAGCACACTGAAGTAAGTTACTGAGTGAATGAGGGAGGGAATGAGAACTTTTGACTCCCACATAATAGTGGCAACTCCTTTCTTTAAAATCCTAGCTCTGGGTGTAAGTTTCAGAAAATGAGCATCAAATAACAATGTCTCTACTCGTGGTGATTCCCCTGGACTCAGACGTCAGTTTTTCAGAAGAGCCTTAAAATAGTATTTGAAGACAAAAGTCATCCCCCAGTCCCTCACGCCTTCTGCTCCTTCCCACTAACCCTTTACATCATTAGAGAAAGGCCTGCTCCACCTCCTACTTAACTTGGCGCCACTTACGCAAACACGCCACAGGCCCTCCAGTTTCTGTTGAAGCTGAGAATGGTGGCCATCTCCTCATCACTCAACTGGAAGTCAAAGACCTAGAAAGTTCCAAAAACATCCTTAGCCAGGAAAGTGTGGGTGGGAGGTGAGGTTCTAGGCATTTCCTCTAATATGTCCATGGTAAACACATTATTCTCTAAACTGAGAGTAAATTATAGAATTTCGTGTTCTGAGCAGGAAGAGCTTTGGCTTCTAGGTATGCTAAGTGCGCACAATGACTGTGATTCCTGAAAGGCATTTCAGAAGGACAGTTTTTCAGTCCAGCACATCTGTCTATATGACGTGGGTGAGAGGACAAAGACAGCGCACAGCTGGCCAGGACAGTGATCGGCCTGTGATCTAAGAGCTCAGTGGTTTGCAGTGGTCTCCTCAGTGGTGTAAGGCACAGCTGCGATCAGTCCTGACAAGGCTTTGCTGGTACCTGCCCCAGTCCATCCATGACCCACTAGTGATCATCCAGCCCTGCTGAGGCCAGCTCTCTGGCCTAGGAGTTGATAAAGTGCTTGGAACAAGGGAAGACACTGGCAATGAAGGAATGGGATGAGACGCTGAAGGACAGGGACCCCCCTTCCCTCCCATCATCTGTTCCACTGAAAAATATCAGCTAATCAACCGCATTTTACCTGAAAGTTCTCACGTATGCGTGAGGGTGTCACAGACTTGGGGATCACCACCACATTCCTTTGGATATGGAACCGAATCAGAACCTGTGCGTGAGGAAGAGAAGGCATGTGTCCATTTATCTACAAGAACTCCTCCTTCTGGTGAAATGGCGACTAAGTAGTTCCCTATGGTTCAACAACAACAATTAATATTAACAAGGCATGTCACTACTAGGGACATTTGCCAGTTCCCTCCCAATGTGATCCAGGAAACAACATTATGACTTTCCTGGTCAGGAATGAGGAGGACAGCCTGTGGTCGTAAGGCTGAGACCCTATACAATTGGCACCTGAACCGCAAACCCGAGGGCTTGGCAGGAAGCTGATGGACAGAGGCAGTCCTTGCTTCAATGATACTGGTCGTGTTTTCTGAAACTTCCAATGGGTTTTCAATTCCTACTTGTCCCTCTCCAAGGGGTTAAAAGCAAGCAACGCAGTTAAGTACATGACTCCATGAATGGATTGCTGGGGGAAGGAAAAAACACTCTGTCTTACCTGAGCTGGTGTCTTCTTGTGCTTGGCAGCAATCTCCTTGATCTTGGGAATCTCCAGTACTACGGGGTCGTCTGGCTTGGCACTAGAGGAAGAAATATGGCTGGAGTGAAAAGCACCATGGCTACCTGCCAGTGAGCATCAGTTCCAAGTCAGCGCCCAGGCTGAGCATTGCAGCCTTTTCCCTCTGCTGCAAGGCAGGGGGCGTGATCTGAAAATGTTGTGTCTTTCCCTTGGGTTCATGCATACGGCTAATGCTTAGTAATTTGAGAAGACCACCCCAGAACTGGATGGAAGAAATGGGGTATTTTGGGGACCTGACATTTTAAAAACTATCATTTTAAAAACACTTTGTCATCAATACATTTTCTCATGGGACTTGAAATTTCATTTGTAGTATTAACCAATTATGGAATCCCAATTTTAAGAGTAATAAATGAGCTACCACTCTGAAGCCTTACTGAGGTCTGTCTGGGGAGCCCAGCGGGCTGTATGCTGTGATGCCAATGCCCTTAGAGTGACAAAACTGGATCAGTTTCTCCTGGGTGAGGTAGGGATGGCACTCAATCTGCAAGAGAAAACACCCCCATCATCAGAGGAGCGGCCCTGCCTTCTGGGTGGTCAAAAGCACTTTTCCACGTAAGGAAAGACAAAGGCCAAATGCAACTCATGGGTAGACGTGCTACAGACTGGACCCAGAGATCTGCCTCCCACCTCCCCGAGCATCCTGAACACAGACCTCAGAGATGAGACTCAGTAGATAGTATGGGAATTGCCTCCCAGTGTGGAAGCAGTCACAGAGCAGGACCCTTCAGCAAAGAGAATTTACCTGGTTCATCACTGGCTTGTGTTTCAGTCCAGGCTTGCTCAGGAGCCTTTCAATCTGCACGTGGTTGAAGTTGGAGACGCCCAGGGCTTTCACCAGCCCCTGGTCCACCAGTTCCTCCATGCCCTGTCACAGTAAGGAAGACCGTTTGATGGTTGTAGGAGGACACAGGGATGCTGGCTTGGCTTGGTCCTTGGATAGGAGGGATGGCTCCTGCATGGCAAGGTCCAGTGAAGCCCTAAAGGGGATTCCCATCTAGACTGTGGTGTCCCCATGGCTGGTTCCAGCCGTTCTACCCCTCCCCGGCATCATTTCTATGATCTCTTTTTTGGTTTTTCGTTCTGTGGTATTAGGGACTGAATCTATGACTGCTCCTGTGCTAGGCAGGCCATCTACCCCTGAGCTTCATCTCTAGCTCCATCCCCCTTTCCATTTTTCAGTTTTGAGACAGGATCTCTGTAAGCCTCTAACATGGCTGTGATTATAAATGTGCAGCAAGGAATGCTTTGCCAATATATGGGCCCTGGCAAGGTACCCAGCCTGGACTTGGATGGCCTGACATCTGTCCCAGTGGCCTTTTGTCCAACCCAAATTGCATCAACCTAAGGATGTGAGATTTATTTATTATCTAAATAGAATGAGCTTGTTCTGAACTTTTCCAAAGATAATTATCCAGCTGATACTGGCAGCCTTACATTGAAAATGAATATATAATTCGTTCATTCTAAGTTCCTGTTTATAATCGGCTTCAGGAATGTGAACATATACAATGCGCTTGCTGCTTGGGATTCTTACAGCCCAGTTCAAGGGCTAGGGATCCAGTCACTGAGCCATCACGGCAGTACTGGGAACCTCAGCTTATTTGGCAGTTCAGATGAGGAAGATGAGGAAGAAATCATCTGATCCCAGGGGAGACATTAGGAAGAGGGTTTAAATTGGGGATGAAAACAAAACAACACATGAAGCAAGGTGGTAAAATCGTGAAGAGATTGGGGGAAGAAGGAGCTAGGCTTAGAGGCAGGGACAAGCAGGGTGTGTTCAGCTGGCACTTGGTGTCTCTCTTTGCCTACAACTTGGAACACTCTGAAAGCGCTACAAGAAATGCATGTCTAGGTTCTACACCTTGGCTTCTGAGGATTTCTCTGGAATGCAACATGGGCATTAGGATGTTCTGAACTCCTCTGGAGATTTAGTGTACAGAGTTGAAAACCAAAGCATGGATGTGGACGGATTTTTCTAGGCAGGGCAGCTGGATGTTGATGAAACAAGAAAACCCAGTGGGCAGTGAGATACTGTGAATGTTCTTCTGTGTCCTAAGTCAGGTTTGGTTAGGTTGTATGATCCATCTTGCCCTCCTTACATTCATTTCTCTTTCCCTCTTTTGAATTCTGTTCCCTGAGGTTTCTATTGGATTTGCTGTGGGTCCACAGAACTGCCACACAGCTGACGCACTCAGTCCTATTGGTTTCTATCAGAGCCTCTGACTGGCAGCAAGACATGGACCAGGGAAATGTCTCGGTTGGTAAAGGTCCTTGGTTACAAGCTTGACAGTCTCTATCTCTGGAACCTACATCTTAGAAGGAAAACAACCTACATCTGTCCTCTGACTCTCACAAGGCCTGCACATACATCACTTTAAAGTGGAGAGAGGGAGAACTGGAGAGTAATAATCCTGAAGTTATATACAGAACATTTGAGCCTTTTCACATCAGGCTGGAGTCTCAAGGGGCCCTGACAGAAGACTTTAACTCTGAGCACCCTGGAAGCAAGTTGGAACCTACCTCCCAGGCATCCAAGAATGTGGATTTACTCATGAGAACTTTGCCATTATTGTCTGTGGGTAATAGCTCACTCCCAGCCTGTAAATAAAAACAAAAGGCTCACTGGAATCTGCATTTAGATACCTGGTCCTGTGAAGAGATGTCTCAGAACAGTGCACTAAGAAATACCCATGCCTGCACAACATTTGGTCAAACTCTGGAAAGCTCACATAAAAACAGTAATCCTCAATCAAATGTCTATTATCAGTCCACCATAGGATGTGAGTCCTCTATTTCTGGCAATACTGGATAGGCTCCAGATACATTATTATAGAAGCCATCATTATCATCACATACATTAACCAATATAAACTTGGAGGAATTTTAATGTCAAAGTCACTAGACAAAAGTTCTATCAGAAGGGTGTGGTTATCTGGGGAAGTGGGTAGCCAGCTTCTGCCTTTGCCACCTTCAGAAGGCTTGAATGTTGGAGACTAGGCCACTGTCACCACAGCTGTTCCTGAGGGCAACAGAATGAGAACTCACAACCCTCCAATCCTTGGGAGCAGAGCCCCAGACACTGTAGAGTAGTTCTTCAGGCTTGGCTAACTAACTGCCAATATCGCCACACTTGGAGATCACTCCCTGGGCACACTTTGATTTCTAGGGACTTATGCAAGATTACCCTAAGATGTCCTACCCAGGGCACTCCTGGGCATGGATTCAAGAGGAAGGTGACTGGTCATTTGAGCTTATCTGAGATGGTAGAAATTACTGTTTCTTTCCAACATAGTTGCATAAAACCAAGCATGAAGCTCACCAAATACCACCTGTTGTCTCAGCCTCCATGCTACAATGGGGTTCTTTTTTGCTCTGTGCATGATCTTCTGGGGACCAGAGAGATGGCTCAGCAGATAAGAGCACTTGTTCCTCTTGCAGACGACCTGGGTTTGGTCCCCAGCACCTATGTGGTGGTTCACAACCAATCATAACTCCAGGTCCCAGGGATCCCATGCTCTCTTCTGACCTCCACAGGCGCCCAGTATGCACATGGTGCACATACATACATGTAGACAAAACATCCATACACTCACGATAAAATTAAATTTTAAAAAAGATCTCCTGCATCATTTTGGCAATGTCTTGGCACTGTAGCCACTTTGTGGCATCTCCCAGAAAGTAGAGATGAGGCAAAGAGCAGCTCAAACCTGGAATCCTTGTGGCCAGTGCACTAGATACAGGTCCAGATAGTCCAGTTTCAGATCCATGAGGGTTTTCTGAAAGCATTTCTTCACCAGGCTTTTCTCAAAGAAGGTGGGCCACAGCTGCAGGTGACAAGGGGGCATTAGGACTAGGGAGAGAAAGGGCCACACCACAGTCACCCTCCCTGCTTTGAGATTTGTCAACCCCAGGGCAGGCCATTCATTTATAATAAAATTAGTTAAGTAATGCAAGTGAATGGGAAAAAAGAAAAGAAAATTAAAAAGGAAAGGAAAGGACATGACCACTCTTAGGTATGGTGGAAGAAAAAGTTTATTGTAGATAAAAGGGGGAGCATAGGTAGAGGAAGGGACATCTGGATTATTCCAGAATGGACATGACCAGACTGAGATGGGCCATGGGAGGTGGTGAGGGAAAGAGGGGAATATGGTCCAGCAGCATGGAGGCCAGAGGTACAAAAGGGGCAGGTAACCAAAATGTCTGGATTATATAGACATTATATAATGCCTCTGGAGAATGGGCAGCCCAGCCCCTGGGCTGGAGAGTTCAGGGTAGATGGTGGGGTATGCTAGTCATACCCTGTAACAGGTAGGGACCTAGGGATGCTGGAGAACCTGGTAGTCAGGCCCCTTTTGATATATTAAATATAAAACACCTCAGCTGTTTGTCTGGGATTTGAAACTTATCAAGTAGGTAGGTCATCAGCTCTCATCAAGTCAAGGTCATTTCCTAAGGGTTCTTCTATGCTCTTGATATTCTCTTTGTTTCTTTGGTCATTTAACACAGTTGGCGTTGACTAAGATTTATATTCCTATGTTATGCCTTGCCTTGGCTCTCATTTCTCAGAGAGTGGGAGCTGTTGTTTGCTCTTCAAATTCAAGCATTAGGGGCTGGAGAGAAGACTCAGAGGTTAAGAGTACTAGCTGCTCTTCCAGAGGTCCTGAGTTCAATTTCCAGCATCCACATGGTGACTCACAACCATCTGTAGTGAGATCTAGTGCCCCCTTCTGGCCTGTATGGATGCACACAGACAGAACATTGTATATATAATAAATAAATAAATCTTTAAAAAAATTCAAGCATTAGGATGCAATTAGAAGCAGCTGGCCCTTTTAGTACTTCCTTGTTCCCAGGCTGGCCAGGCCCTGGATGAATGACAATGAGTACATATAAGTGTAGCCACTCCAAGAGTGGCTGTTTGTGTGTGTGTGGAAATCTGCCTAGAGATATAAAGGAGGCAGGGGAAAAGGTCTAGGAGACATACAAGGGCATAGGATCAGCTGGTAAGCTCTAGAAGCCGGCCATACCCAGAGACTTTTACCTGCCTTGAAGTCATATTCGCTAATGGAGGCTGGCTCTTAAAAGACCTCCTTTCAGGGTCCAAAGGAAACACTATAGTAAGTGAGGGAAAGACTAACGGCGAAGGAATGATTCCACTCACACTGTGACCCTTCTGTGCATGTCTCCTCATTCTTTTGCTCTCCCCCTAATTTTCTTGGCCTAATTGTCTGTAATTTTTTAGTTCTAATTCTCTGTTCTTATCTTTCTGCTTCCTCTCATCTAGCCTAATAATTTTTTCACAGTAGGCTCTAAACAAGAGTTGCCTCTCATTGGTCAAAAGCACATTCCTAGGGTAAGCGATAAGGAGCCGAGCCATTTACCATGGCAACACACATTTTCAAGGTTTTGGGAGTAAGAGAAGGGGCCATAGTACCCAAATGAACAAACTTTGAGACATAGGTCTATTGTCAACAGACTTGGCAATCAAAGAATTGGCATGCTTTTCTTAGGGTGCTTTGTGTTAGTAATCTTGGTAGACACCTGTGACCCTGACCTGTGCATAACTGTAAAGTTTTAAACTCATGATCTATTTACAAATGCCTTTAGTCTAGTTTGAACTTGCTCTGAGGTAAAAATGAGCTAAATGTGTGCAGTTTGTGTCAGACTGAGGTGAGACTGCTATTTTTGTTAGTGTGAGTAAAAGGAACAAGGTAAGCTCTAAGTGTCTACAGTCTCATGGGACAATAGATCTAGTTGTGAAGCATATCCTAGTATATTTTCAACATATCAAAAATTGTACAGTTAAATGAAAAGTCATCTTCCTGACCATCCACAGATATATGTGTGCCTATAAGATTGAGATGCAATCATGTGATTACATATAGACATTTCATGAAAATGTTTGGTAATGGGAAGATATCATTGTTGTAATTGCACAAGAAGTCTACAAGAAATAGCCAATTCATTCAAAAGGCAATAATTTAAAAATGCTCTGTGTTTTGCTTTAATCCTCCATCAGAATTCTTGATTCTTGTGGGTTGACCTTGTAAATGACAGTTGAATTCTCACTGCATAAGCCTGTGACCTACAATAGCTCATGATAAGGGCCTGACAATCCACCATGGGCCATTGTACCTTGCTGACAATGAAGAGGTCCTCCCGCTTCACAGCCTTCTCTTTGATCTTCTCTTGGATGGCTTCTCCCACTTCATTCTCATTCTGATAGGCATAGGCACAGTCAATGTGGCGATATCCAGCATCAATGGCGGCCTTCACAGCTTCCTTGACTTTGCCTGGTGGGGACTAAAAGAGAATAGAAAAGACAGTTAGACACTTTCAAGGCCCCCTCTTAAAGGCTCCACATAGACCAGATTCTCAAAACCATAGCCTTGTTGGGGTCTTTAATCCAAGTAGACATGGGAGAGGAAAACATATATTGGGAAACTTTTCAAAGCAAAAGAAAAAAAAGAATTATTATTTTGTTATTTCCTTCAATTTTGGGGTTATCATCTAAGTGATGGGTTTTATCATGGTATCTTAATACACATGTCATTGTAATATTATCACCCATGTCCTAGTCTAGTCAATATTTAGTTGTCCTCTATTCCAGGTTGATCTTGAAGTCCCTCCAGTTTCTGAGAGTGACAGATGGCTCTCCTTGCAACTTGCCCAAGGTCAGTCTGAAAACCAAGAGAAATTTTCAGACTTCGGAGAGAAGGACCTCAAAATGGTCATTACAAGCTAATTTGCTCTGCCATGGTGGAGTATGAGGCTGAGCAGATTCCTCAATTTCTCTGAACCTTGACAACAAATTATAACAACAATAACAGTCCTGCCTCATGAGACCTTTGTGTTGCTTGTTTGCCACAAGAATGTGAAGTTTTTAGCCCATCACCCACACTTAGTAAGGCTCGGTGGATGCAACATGTGCTCAATGTTTCAGAAAAGGAATGAATAGGAAACTATAATAACTGATATTTCCCCGACCAATAAGAAAAAGAAGAGAAAAGAACATTTAAAACGTCACCTTGTGATCTAACCTAGCCAAGCCAGACATTAGTGTAGGAAAAGTAGCACTTAGCACTGATCTCTCTGCAGAGTATAGGGCTACATGCCGGTGATCCCACTATGAGAGGCACAGAGGCAGCAGGGTCCTGACCCTGAGGCCAGCCTGGGGCACATTACCATCTCACTCCAAACAAAAGAACATCTGCTGGATGTGGAAGCCCATGTTTGTAATGTTAGTATTTGGGAGGTAGAGGGTGGGAGAATCATGAGTTCAAGGTCAGTCTCAGCCACATAATGAGCAATAGGCCAACCTGGGATACATTAACACACTCTCAAACAATAAAAATAACATTTTATCTCTCACAAAATCTAAACATTCTTTTTAAAGTAGCAAACTTTGAGAAGCACATTAAGCAGAGAAGAACAGCTATACCATCACGTGAACATGGAATTGCCAGAAACTCAAAAGCTCTGGGGTCAGGCCCAAGGCCCCACCCTCCTGCATGCCCACTGATGAGCAGACCCTTACAGCAGCACCATCTTTTACGTGGAAGATTCTGTCCCACCAGCTCCTCCTAAATAACCACACTGGAAGGTGTTATTAATAATAAGTTATTAATAATTAACTTGGCTGATAGCTTAGGCTTGTCTCCAGGCAGCTCTTACAACTTAAATTAACCCATTTCTATTCTTCCTCCCAGCATTCTCTCTGCCCTGAAATTCTTGCCTAGCCATCTACCAATGAGCTTTTTATTAACAATGAGAGCAACACATCTTCACAGTGCACAGAAATATTGTTCCACAGCACCATCTCCTTACCTTGAAAACAACTCCTTTACGATATTTACATCTGCTTTTGAAATTCTGAAAGTTGAACTATTGTGAACTTATTCAGGGTGAGTAGATTCCCTGGAGATTTATGGTTATTTGTTACCTTAATGGAATGTGAAATTTCTAATTTGGTTGCATGTCTCACTGTTCTAGGAAGATTTCAATCCAGCAAATCACAAAGAGGGATTCTACCCTCTGTGAGAAAGAGAAACCGACGAGGAAGACTGGAGATAAGTCTCTGAGACAGGAGAGAAGGTTCCCAAACAGCTCATGATCCAGGGATGAAGGTTTACACCTGTAATCCCAGTGTTCATGAAGCTGAGGCCAGAGGGTTACTCCAAGTTCCCTTGAGGCCAGTCAGAGTGAGACCCTGTCTCAAGAAGTCAAACTGCAAATTGAAAACGGTTCTGTAAACAAGCTGGCTATTGTCATGTTACCACTGAGCAGAAAGGCAGAGTTAGAAGATGGAACAATGCCAGACTTGTCCCGAGAGAGGCTGGGAAATCTGCCACTGAGCACTGGGATGGGCCATGGAGCAACTTGCCAGGAGATTAACACACCCAGGGCAGACCTGAGCTGACTCCAGCCCAGGTTCTGTAGTCCTCATGCTGCTCAGAGTTCACTGTGTCAGGGAACTACACGAGTCTCCGTAAAGGGCAGGGATTCAGGAGCCTGGGCTGGGGTCTGATACTCTGTCTCTCCCCCAGGACCCCCCTGCAATTGGAATGCTGGCATAGAGCCTTACATCATGAGCAGGAGAGGGAGAAGGGTCATTCAGAACTCTCTCCTCTCAGTCACTCAGTCAGTAGCAAACCAACAGAGAGTCTGAGAAGGAGAAGCTTCTAAGAAAACAATGGCTCTGAAAACAGTTTTCTTCCCAAAGTACAGTACAAAATGCAGGGAAACGAGTCTCATTTCAGAGAAAGGCTCGTCTTGGAACTTTGCAACCCAAAGAAGCCCCAAATGAAAGGACACTGGGGGTCAGCTCTGGGCTTCCTTCATTGTACAGCGGATGCTGGGCAATGAGGAGAAATGCCAAGGTCCCCCCCTCAAGAGAAGCAGGTGGCCCAAGATGGCACACTCACCTTCCAGGTGCCCAGGCCCACGATGGGCATCTTGGCTTTGGTACTGAGCTCCACAAAGGTGGCCATGGTTGCTGCAGAGACTTTTCTGAGAGAGCAGATGAATGCCTGCTTCCTCTCTAAGGAGGCTGGAGGAGTTTTTATGTCCTGGATAAGAAGGCGGGATCTTACTGCATTGGCAAGCAGCCACAGTCAAGGGGCGGGGCACTCAAACAGGATGTTTATTCACATCTTTGTAGGACTGATTAGTGTGAACAAAGATTAAACTTTGTACATTGCAAAGTCTCCCTGGTGCAGCATTCATGATTTACTGTGGAGTTCAGCTCAGAGGTTTGTGAACCAAAACCATGGGTGAAAGGCCCTCCAGGATGAATCGGCAAGTTTATTAGGAAGGAGACACTGCCATGGGAGTGGATATAACTCTAGTGAACTGAGTGGGTGTTCCAGATGTTTGAGGCAAGGAAAAATGTCAAGGCAAACTGAAATACCTTACAGTAACTATTTTGAAACAACCGTGATGGGCCACAGAAGAATGTCTGTTTTAGAGTAAACTGACAGATGACGTTGCGGAAAGATTTTTTTTTTAATGTAAGGTCATGGTAGCCTTTGTGCCAGGCTCTGGCAGACTGTTGAGCAAAAATTTCTGTAAGCAAAAATTGAGAATCAATCTACCTCAAGATCCAGCTATACCACTCCTGGGCATATACCTTGTGGTATACTCTGTCCTACCACAAAGACACTTGCTCAATTATGTTCACTGCAGCTTTATTCATAATAGCCAGAAACTGGAAACAATCTAGATGTCCCTTAACTGAACAATGGATCAAAAAAATACGGTACATTTACACAAGGGACTATTACTCAGCTATTAAAAATAACGACATCATGAAATTTTCAGGCAAATGAATGGAACTAGAAAAAATTATCCTGAGTGAAGTAACTCAGACCCAGAAAGACAAACATGGTATGTACTGTTATAAGTGGACTTAGCTGCTAAGTAAAGGGTGATCATGCTACAATCCACAGACCCAGAGAGGCTAAGTAACAAGGAGGGCTCAAGGGTAGACACATGGATCTTCCTGGGAAGGGGAAATAGAATAGGTTTTGTGGGTGTACTGGGGGTGAGGGGGATGAGAACCTGTTGGGGTGAGAGGCGATGGAAGGAGAGAGTACCGGGAGAGATGACTGGAATTGGGGGCCATGTGGAAACCTATTGCAACAGAAAATCTCTGAAATATTTGAGAGTGACCCTAGTGAAGACTCCTAGTAATGGGGGACACGGGGCCTCCCCTGGCCATCTTCTACAACCGGGCAAGTCTTCCAGCAGTGAAACTGGGATTCCAACACAACTACAAAACCCATAATCTGTCCTGCCTCCAAGATGTGCTGGGTAATGGTGGTACAGAACTTGTGGGAGTGACCAACCAATGACTGGTCCAACTTGAGTCCAACAACCAGGAGAGGGAGCCCATGTCTGACACTGCGTGGATGGCCAGAAACCAGAGGCTGGACAGCTCGGAGACCAAGGATAGAATGAAACACGACTGGGGGAAAATTCTATGAAATGATAAGTAATGACATTCTGCTATACTCATAGGTCAGTGTTGTTTTAAAAAATGATAAGTGGCACTGGTTACCATGCAGACAGGTCAGGAGGCACAAGCCACAACAAAACCCAGGATCAGAGCTTTATTAGGAGGAGAGGAGGGACAAAAGACCAGGCCTGGGGAAGAAGCACATGCAGAGAGAAAGAGGGAGAGAGATAGTGGGGGAAAAGAGAGCAGAGGAGAGAGAGGAGGAGTCTGTGTCCAGCTTTTTAAGGATTCCTGTGCACATGCGCAGGCAGGCTTACCGAGGTACACCACACATGCACTGATTGTGTGAACACTGCGTGAATCTAAGAAACCACGTAGCACATGGCACAAGACACCCTCCACCCCCCACCCCACCCCCCTGCACGTACTCTGACTGCTCAAGGTTCAACCAGTTGTTTACTGTCTGGGACCCCTCACCAACTTAGAGCTACGTGCATAGGTCAATGTGAATGTGCTAGGCCAGCCAGCCTCCATGGCAGCTCAAGGACAGAGCCTGGAACTTGTCCAGGCCTGCCCAAAACAATAACTGTAACCCCAAACCAGTAAAATCAAAGGTTACACACCCTCACCCAATCATATGATGCAAAGGCTTGTACCACCATGCTTGCGGTTTTTCCCTTTAAAAACCCCTCACCCTGAGAGCTCAGGGCCATTCTCCTCCACCCGCTGTGTCGAGTGTTGGACATGGACCAAGCCTGGGCTTGCTTGTTATCAATAAACCCCTGTGTGTTTTACATCAGATATCAGTTCTGTGGTGGTCTTGCTCAGGGTCTTGCAACAAGACCAGGTTGCTGTAATTCTCCAACATCACATCAATGTACAAAGCCCTCTGAGCAGAGTCCAGGCATCCCCACTCCTCTTTCGAGAAGTCCACAGCTACACCCCAGAATGTCAACAGACCCCGGCGCATGTTTACTGGAGAACCCGCCATTTCTTTGTGTTTCTCTTCTTTGAGTTTCTCCTTCAGGGACAATGAACTGATGGCTTGTTGCCCTGAATCCTTTGCTACTGTCTCCTCCGTCTCCATTTTCCAGGCCTGTTTGTTCTGCTCCACAGGTGAGCAGGTCTGATTATCAGGGAGCTCTGAGAGGTTCCAGGGCCACAGGGTTTCAGTTCTGACATTGCCACTGCTGCTGACTGGTGACTTTCCCAGGCCACACCACAGGGTGCTTGTGGTTGTGGGTAGTTTTAGCTTCCTGCAAGACCCCACCCCCCACCCCACTGTGCAGAACAAGACCCCCCTTGCTGTGTCCTCCAAACCCAGGTCTATACCACGCGTTTCCCCAGGTGCAGGCCCCTGAGCTCTGTCTGGGAATGAGCCCGTGGCAGTCCTGGCTTTTGGCTCCTCAGTCCCACTTCCCTGGCCTCACCCACAAGGTATAACAAGAATTTCAATCCCGAGCATCCTCAAATGGACTGAAAGTCTCCTCAGGGAGAAATGTCCTAAATCACAGAGGAGAGGCATCCCTTTCCACGTGAGAGGGGGCGATAGGGTGAGAGGAGGCTTCCTGGCACACTGCTGTGGCTTTCATAATAAAAGTAGACCAAGCAGGGAACTCTGCAGTGACACTTAGGCTGTAGACAGGGAGAGGCAAGTGGTTAGAGCAGGTAGGGGAGAAAACAGCTGGAGAGGTACACTAGGAGAGGCTTTGGAAAGTGAGGGTTCCAACAGAAGAGCAAGTGTCTTAGTAAGTACAATTGCCCAGGTGGTAGGGTCTCCAAGGGTGTAGCAGGAAAATGCCCATATGGTAGGTAGGTGCCCCAAAGCAGGGAGATGCCCCCATAGTGGGTGCCACAAAGTGGGTAGCAGGTTCCAGGAGCCAGAGAGAGGATGCTTACTGAGTAGTGGAGGAGAGATGGATGGTTAGACAAGGTGGAAAGAAGGACAGGCAGACTTTAGAATCAAATTTGGTGGGTGGCCAAAGCCAGCAGCAACAAATGATCCATACATACCTTAAGAGAGTCAGATTAGTAGCATGGTTCAGAGTGGCCAAGTTCCTTAGGAGGGAACTCATTTATGCCACTCCTGATTTTCAGTGCCATATGAATGAAGAGAGAAAGAAAGAAAGAAAGAAAGAAAGAAAGAAAGAAAGAAAGAAAGAAAGAAAGAAAGAAAGAAAGAAAGAAAGAAAGAAAGAAAGAAA